CCCTTCCTGCCCGTCCCTCCCCGCTGCGCTGGTCAGATTCTCTATATCCGCAGACGCATGCCATAGCTGACCTGGAACTCCAACAAAGACGCATAATTTGATGCGCAATCGGTCAAAGGGGAGCTGCGTACGTACACAGGCGGAGCTAGAAGAGGCGGCGGATGAACAAGAGGATGATCAAGATGAAACGGGGGAAAATAACGTACCACCCCGCAGATGCGGATAAGATTGAAGGGGCGGTGGGGACGTAGGCAGTCTGCGAGAATGTGGAGAAGCCCGCCGCAAGCGCCAAAATTTCATACTTTATACAACGAGCCCGCCGCAAGCGCCGATTTTTCCTTCAAACCAATGTGGATCGGTCACGGGTGGGTCGCGGGTGGACCGTCTTCAGGAAAAGGGGAGGAAGCCTCGAGCGGGAACGTTGTTCTTGCTGGGAGCGGCGCCGATTCAACAGAGTGTTGGGCGCCAGCCCAGTGTAAAACGGAACGACCTCTCGGGCGGGAGCGCTGGTTTTGTCGGGGCGGCGGTTTTCGGCGGCGAGGAGGAGCACCGCCTTGAGTAAAAAAGGGAGGAAGTCTCGAGCGGGAGCGTTGTCTTTGCTGGGGGCGGCGCCGATGAGAGAAAGACGAGCGCGCCAGTCCAAGGTAAAACGGGAGGAAAATCTCGAGCGGGAGCGCTGGCTTTGTTAGGACGGCGGCTTTCGGCGGCGAGCAAGAACACCAGCCCTGAGTAAAAAAGGAAGAACTCTCGAGCGGGAGCGTTATTGTTATTGAGGGGCCGGCTTTGGCGATCCCCCAAACCGCTCGAGCGTGAGCCTCATTTCGAATGGAAAGGTAGCCGGCGCCCCGGCGAGAGCGCCAGGGCGCCTTTGAAGGGTCTCACAGTAGTAATTGTTTGGAAATTAACATTCAGCATTAATAACAACAACCATCATACGACTGTTCGCTCTTACTTGCCCGTGTGTCATTCAAAACGAACTCCTCATACCCTCGATACCCGCCCTTTTTGTCTTCGATCCCACCCCCTTTGGGGGGATTATTACTCTTTGCGGGGGGCGGCGGGCTTATACAGGCGGGCACACATGAACGGGCGGACAATCCTTTGTGGGCGTACATGTGCCCGCCATTGGAATTGGTGTGGGCCCTGCAAGAAGAGGAGGGGGAGACCGAGGGAGAGTGGGAGGAAGGAAGGGGGAGGGACGGAGGAACAGGGAACATGCTAGGAGAGAAGGAGCGAAGACGGGGGCGGTTGATTAGAGGCAGAGAGAAAGAGAGAGAGAGAACAAAACAAAAAAAGACAGATAGGAGAGGTAGAGGAAGAGAGAGAGAGAGAGGGGAGAGAGAGAGAGAGAGAGAAGAAAGAGGGAGGATGCAGGAGAGGGGAGGGAGAAGGGAGGAGGGAGATGAGGGAGAGGGGATAAGGCAGAGAGGCATAAGGATGAGGGAAGAGAGGAGGGAGAGAGAAGGGAGGAGAGGAGGGAGGAGGGAGAAGGAGCAGGAAGGTAAGAGCGTGAACGTTCGAGGAAGTCCCAGGCGAAAGCGCCGTTCCTGAAGGAAGTCTCGGGCGGGGGCCCACGACGGGCGGGCGATCCCCTGACGTGCGGGTCGGGTGGGTGGGACATTCAAGCGGGATGCCTGATTATGGCGAGAGCGCGATTATTTAGTCAATTGTAACGGCGTCCTTGGCGCAGCGTGTTTCCTGAGCGTCGAAAGCGCGATTTCTGAATAAACTGCATGGAAGGCACAGGCGAGAGCGCCATTCCTGCAAAAAATGTGAGGGGTTCTCCGGCGGGAGCGGGGTCTTGATCAAATTGCGAGGACGTTTTGATTCAATTGCGAGGAAGTCTCAAGCGGGAGCGCCGTCCCTGAGAAAATTGTGAGGAAGTCTCAGATGGGAGCGGGGGTCCTGACGCCATTGCGAGGAAGTCACAGGCGGGAGCACCGATCCTGAGTAAATTGTAAAGAAGTCTCAGGAGCGGGCGTCCTGAATAAATTTGGAGGACGTCTCAGGCGGGAGCCGTTGTTGTTTTTGTAATCCGGGGGGCCAAGGGCCCAGTTTGAGCACCAATGTTTTCCCTGTTACAAACAGGGTGCGAGCGTCGAGGGGCACACTTTGATTGAGAAGAAGCAGTATGCACCGGTGAGGGGGGATCAACAATAATTATTCAGAAATGAGAGAGAGTTCAACAAGCAGAATCCTCACCACAAATTCTCACTTCAGCCACGCACCCAGGGACAATGAATGACCGTTCGGCCCTCTCACTCTGGGAACAAAAAGAGGACGAGGATAAACGGAAGCAGCGGGAACTGGAGACTGGAAGAATCGGGAGGAACAGCAAGACCAGGGGAAGGCGGAGGAGGGGACATGAGGGGGCGACAACGATGAATAAGCTTAGGTCGGGCCTGTCCCCCTACAGGGGGATTCTGGATGAATAATTAAACCTACACCAAAACAATTCAAAATAAGAAAAAATGGTGGACTAATAATCCCCAGACAATTTTTTGACTGTTTCTGAATTTCCCTCCTGTAGAGGGACAGGCCCGACGTAAGCCTTGGATCCAGAAAAGCATCCCGCGCTAGGGCGGGAGCGCTATTCTCAACGACGGGGGTAGAGCGCCCATCCACAAAGTGTACAACGCCGCAGCGGCAGCACCATTCTGAGACACCAGAAACACAAACATCTGACATGCCAAACTTTGAAACTCAGCACCCCTCAAACGGGGACTACACTAACGGGTACTTTGGCCAATGACCCAACGAACCCAACCCTTCCCGATGTGGGCCAATGCCGGAAACTTTCGGCAAAATTTCAAAGTACCCGTTTGTCAGTACCCGTTACGGTGCCATTGAGAAACCAAAAAATCCGGTGTGGAAAAAACAATACGCGGAAGGGGCGAGTTATGCCCCATCCATCTTCGGGGGAGGGAGGGGAGCAGTACTCACCTCAGGTGTGGACGAGCGAGGGAAGAGGGGTGAACGAGAAGAGGCTTCGAGGATCGGAGATCGAAGGGTTCGTGGCTCCAAGATCGGGAGGTTCGAGGGTCGGGGACCTCTGTGGCCTTCTTCGGTCCACAGGAGGCAGCTTGTTCGCGTCGTCGTCGTCGCTGCCCGACGGCGACGGCGCCAGTGTCGTCGTCGTCGTCGTCGCTGCCCGATGGCGCCGGCGCCAGCGTCGTCGTCGTCGTCGTCGTCGTCGGGACCTCCCTGGCCAGGGCCCACGCAGACCACTGATTTGGTTGATGTTCAGACCCGTCTGGCCGATCGGTCCAGGCCAGGACAATGTTGGCGTCTAGCTGCCGTCTCCGGGAGGGGGCAAGCTTGACGATCGAGGGCCACAAGGTTTTTGCACGCCTCTGCCTTGTTCTAAGACGAAGCCAGGACGGTAATATATTCGGGTGAAAATAAATCGAGAATCTCTGAGATCTGGCGGCTCCAGAGGATGTCTCGGGCGCCGCGGACTTCTCAGAACATTTCAGAACGCTCCGGAGAGGGGGAGGGGGGGGGCGAGGATGGATGAGGGCACTGGGCCCTCAAAAGGCGTACGCGCCAGGCCATGTACACGATTGCGGCCCCTCAGTCCGCGAGGCCAACCTCGTCTTGCAAACGTTCGCGCAACGTGTACTCTAGAAGCCAACGGAAACTCATGCAAACGCAAGGATTTTTCCTCGCTCCCGAGAGGGGGGCGTGGACACGTCCCCGCCTCGCGCTCCGCCCTCTCTGGGCTCTTCGTGCCCGTCCCGCCTCCTTCCTCCCTCCCTCCCTCCCTCCATTCCTCCCTCCCTCCTCCCTCCCTCCCTTCCTCCCTCCTGCTCTTCCTCCCTCCCTCCCTTCCTCCCCAGGGTTCCGACTTCATGAAGGCGGAGGCTTAGGGCGGCACGTTAAAGGGGGGGGGCGCTGTCTGAGCCGAGGCTGCGCAGGGGGACACGGTCGCGGCCTGCGGGCCTGCTGTAACGGGGTGAACGTTCAGCCTTCTGTAGTTTTCGGATCGCATCGCACGGAGGTGCATAACAGCTCCCGTATTTGTGTTAATGTCTCGGCCGCGACATCGAGCTTCCCCCACCCTGTTTGCGTCTGCTATCTCTACAACTTCTGCCGTGGCGGTGATCCTGGTAATTGCTCTCCTACTGTGTACTGATCGGCCGTCCTGCGGATGGGGGCCTTCCTCTGGCACCCGAGGAGACTTTCTGGCTCCACTGATATGCCAGCTTTAGTCATCTTCAGTCGAATTGCTACATGCGTCGACGGCCTTTCATCAATCCAAAAGACATCTCTCCTCCCTAATCCCCCAATCGTATTCGGGCACTGGGGCCACGAAGAGCTATCCAGGACAAAAAAACGTATCCACATCCAGAGCATCGGTCGATCGTTCCAGGCACCCCTGGCTGGAACAGTGCGAGACATCGGAGGTACGTATTCATGGTGATAAGCAGACGAAGCGTCACTGACGCAGTTGACGCACCGTGGACAGTTTCCACTGAGTCACCCAAGACATCCCCCGAACCAGGCGCCAATTCATTTAGAACAAGTACCGTACTGTCTCTCTCCCAGGCATGAATGGTATCAAATTCAACTGTTGCTGGCGCCAGGAGAAGGTCATGGTCACAACGCCCCGCCCGCTAACATGGAATCCGTCGAATGTCATGCTCCTGCTCTTTGTGAGTCTTGTTCTGCTCCCAATCACTCCTGGGCCGTGGTCCTCGGACCTGCCGAGAAAGTGGGCCTTGTCGGCCTGGGCGGGGCCTCCACGGAGGGGCAGATGTGTGAGGGGCCCACTGGGCCTGTTTCAAGTACCCTGCCACGGGCCAGCCACTGTGCTGGTGCGAATTGAGCATACACAGTGCTGCCTCTTCAGCATGGTCTTGTTTTTGGGACGTGTGTCTCGCCCCTAGAGGGCTTCACGGAACTGCACATGTTCCTGCAATCCGAATGCAAACTGCACGCTGCATCAAACGGGCCATCATCATTCGAACAGCAAACATGCAACTCTTGAAAGACCGCTCCTGGGAGTCGCGCTGCATGCTAGCCGCAACGTCGCTCTCGATCCTGACCTGGCGCAAACCAAGATCGCACTGAGCCGAGCCTCGACCATCGCAACGATCGGTACCAATGATGCCAGCCCCAAGTGAACATCAACGATCGGAAGATCGGAAACTCACAACAAAAAAATATCCTACAGGAATGCATCGATCAGGGGATTCGCGGGCACGCCGGTTTTAAGAAGAGAAGCGAAGCCTTCGAAGGAAAAGTCACACATATGGTTGCGAAATGGTGGAATTAACCCAGCGAGAGGTCCAAGTTTTGAGTGCAGCATTTGTGAATATCGCCTTCAATGAAGGTCCTGACGGGGCCGCGAAACGTTTAAGCGGTGTGCCAGAATGGATCTGGGGGCGCATACGAACCCTGCCACTAGGGCCTCAAATGGGGCGGCATGTGGGGCCACGAAACGGGTGAGGAGCATACCGAAACGGACGCGACGCGCACAAGTGGACAGCACCTCTGGGTCCTCAGGTGGAACTCCCTGTGAGGCCACGCATCGCATCAGGGGTGTGCAACACGGGCGTGACGCCCACATGTGGGCGGTGCCTCTGAGGCCTTCGGTGAAGCTCCCTATAGGCCACGAGAAAAGGGTGAGGGGTGGGCCAAAACGAGAGTGACGCCCACACGTAAACAGTGCATCTGGGACTTGGGGAAGCCCCCTATGGTGCTGTGAAACGTGTGGTAGGTGCGCCGAAACGAGCATCACGCCCAAACGTGGACGGTTCATCTGGGGCCTTCGGTGGAGCTCCCTATGGGGCCACGAAACGCGTCAGGGCTGTGCCAAAACGGGCGTGACGCCAACAGTGGACGGTGCCTCTGGGACCTTCGGCGGAGCTTCCTTCGGGGCCACGAGCAGGGTGAGGGGTGTGCCGACATGGGTGTTGGGGATGGTGCCTCTGGGGCCGTCGGTGGAGGTCCCCATGGGGCCATGAATCGTGTCAGGGTGTGCTGAAGTGAGCGTGAAGACCACATGTGGATGGTGCCCCTGGGGCCTTCGGTGGAGCTCCCTGTGGCCACGACACGTGTGAGGGGTGTGCCGAAGTGGGCATGACATTCACATGTGGACGATGCCTCCGGGGTCGCAAATGAAATCCTTATGGGTCCACGAACCGTGTGTGTGTGTGTGTGTGTGCGCAATGGGCATGCGGAGGACAGAGGCAGGGATGGGAGGGGGAGGTGGGACGGAGACGCGGCGCGATGCGCAGTCAAAACGAGGGACCACTTGGACACTTGGGTAACCATCGCGGCCAATCCCCCAAGATTACTTACTGGCACGGCATGCGTTCGTTACTGGCCAATTACTGATCGGCCGACTCTAGGCCGCTGGCGGCAATCGGCGTTCAATCTTGAACGCACGCGCTTAGGTCGCTGTCGCGTCATTGTGGCGGAACCCGCCTTATCCAACGTGGTGCTGGATGACCCTCGCCCTCGGGGACGCGCTGATTCGGGTCAAAACCTGGGTCAACCAGGGCCATGTCCCGAACCCAGGCTGGCCGCGAAGAAGTTCGAAACCCGAGGCCAGCCCGGGTCAGCGAAGGGCGAGAGAGGGGGGTGGGTCGGCTTCACGCGGCTCCGGAACCCGAGGCGACCAGAGGGGATCGGTGGGGGGAGGAATTACCATTAAATCACGCCCGCGACGGCCCCGCCTTGCCGAACGCCGGCCCGTGGCATTTTCCAAACTCATGCTGCATCTTCGAGGGGGGCCGTCTTCCTCTGGCGAGGCCTAGGTCAAGGAGTGAAGTTCGGTTGATGATTGCAGTTGTGATGGCCATCACTGCCTGGACAGCTCCGTCCAGAGCGATAGCCTCGGCAATGAAGGAAGAAATCGGCTCTCGAAGGAATGTGCCTCCTAGTATGAGTGGTGTCGTCGCTGTGTGGGTTCCCTTTCGAACGACGGTTTCGATATCCCGTCGCGCCGCTAACCGCGTCGAATCCGTGCCGAATCCGCCTCGAGTCCGCGCCGAAACCGCACCACATTAACGCCCATTCAACGCCGATCCCGCGCCAGATATCAGAGAGCACGCAGTTCTCAGGACAGACCGATGCAGCGCTACACAACCTCCAACGGCATGCTGTCTCCTACATCTCGGCCCCCGGGGTGCCGTTCCCGAGGCCGCGGGCGGCTGCTCTCTGATATCCGCTTGCGCAAAGGCTGTCCGCTGCTCGGGTTAGGCTGAACTTGGCGTGAAGCATTTCCGGGCCGGGCGAAAGGGGGGGGATAGCAAGGGGGGGGTTGAGAATCAGCTCACGTAGCTGATTTTCCCAGCGCCTCCCGGCGCCGGGAGGCGCCCATGTATCGAGGAATGGGCCCTTCGGCGAGGCCGAAACCGGCTGCATGCAACAAATTTCGTAACCCCCCCTTTCCCAATCCCCCCCTTTCGTCCGGCCAGTTTCTCAGGTTGGGCGGAACTGGCCGTAAGGCCTTTGCAGTATGAGGAGAATCGCGCCTTCTGCCGCACAGCTCTGAAACGATGGGGTCGCGCCGAGGATCTCACAGCATTGTCGATTTGCTCGCGCAACTTCCCCACGAGGTTCACATTGCAGCCCTGGCGGTCTGTGGGAGGGATCCGAGGGACGAGAAGGTCGCCATGATATGGAGGCGTCGCAAGGCACGATGGAACTGACTGACGAATAGCCGCTCGGGAAGACTGCGCCAATTGCAAGCCATCTGTCAACTCACCAAGAATGGCCCGGTGGCTGACATTGATCAGCGCTCTCCCAGCTGATCCCATAGCAAGACCCATCATGTAATCTGCAGAATCCTATTATTTGGATTGTGCTCGGAATCCCTCGACGTGCACTTCCTCGATCTCTCTCCTTATCGCACTCTTTTGAAACCCCTCTGTTTCTGTTGTGTGTATATATATATATAGAACTCGCCAGCACAACGGGCCAGAGGCGGGCTAAGATCTCCAGCAACTCATTTACAATACTTCTACTTCGCGCGCGCGGGGCGGCCCCTGGGGTCCCCGGCTGGTTCGGATCTGATATGGTTTTCCTTCTGGGCGCCGCCCTTCAAACCCTCCATAGCGCTCCAAGAGGACCCCGCAAGGATCCCACGACGGTCCAAGAGGGCTCCCAGACGTCCAATGATCGGACCAGGACGCCCAAATGTGGCCTTTAGATGGCCCAAGACGCCCTTCAAACGCCCTAAGAGGCCACAAAAAGCCCCCCCAAGAGGGTCCCCGGAGGCAAAAAGTAATGGACCCCCCTTAGTTTCTCAAAGATTCAGGCGTTTTCATCCTCCCCTCCTCCCCCTCCTCCTCTTCCTTCTCGCTCGCCACGAGCATCCCTGACGATTCTGACCCACAACGCACGCACAACCGTGGGATGGGATCTAGGCGCACTTCAATGCTTCCAAGATGCGTCCCAGATGCCCAAGATGGCTTCCAACACGGACCTGGGAGGCCACCAAAGCCGAACAAGTGGCTTCAGATGCCTCCAAGACAGACGAAGAGGCTCTAAAGAAGACCCAAGAACGCGACAAGAGATCCCCCAAGCGGGCCCACAGAGACAAAATTCTGTGATTTTGATTGTGGGCTTCAATGTTTTTCACGCTATCGCCTTTTCGAGCATCCGAAGCTCCAAGACGGCCCCAGGGGCCCCCAAGACCACTCCAAGACGGCCCCAAAGAAACTCCCAAGACATCTCGAGACGGCCCCGAAACGGCACAAGATGCGCCCAAGAGAACCTCAAAACGCCCCCAAGACGGGCACCAGAGGGAGAGCATGAACCGACAATTTGAGCATTGAGCGCGAAGAGGCCCCCAGGAAGCCCCAAAAGGCTTCAAAAGCGCGCAATATGGGCCGGCGGAATGAGCGAAGCGATCCGCCGGCCCATGGTCTGCACGAACTCTTTCCCCGCAGTCTCTTGCCCACGCACTCCTCGTACACATCCCTCGACCTCTTTCACGCCAGCCGCGCGGAAGGTATGGAAGGTAGTAAAAAACAATGGGGCTAATGACGTAGGTTTGTTGAGTTACGTCGGGTTTTAATCCGATAATGCAGTTTCGTAGAGTTTCAATAACATAATGAAGTTTCGTAGGGTCTTGTTGGAAGTAGTGGTCGTGGTTGGTAGTAGTAGTAGTAGTAGTAGTAGTAGTAGTAGTAGTAGTAGTAGTAGTAGTAGTAGTAGTAGTAGTAGTAGTAGTAGTAGTAGTAGTAGTAGTAGTAGTAGTAGTAGTAGTAGTAGTAGTAGTAGTAGTAGTAGTAGTAGGAGTAGGAGTAGTAGTAGTAGTAGTAGTAGTAATAGCAGGAGGAGTCGCAGTAAGAACAGTAGTAGTAGTAGTAGTAGTAGTAGTAGTAGTAGTAGTAGTAGTAGTGGTGTGGTAGTAGTAGCAGTAGTAGTAGTAGTTGTAGTAGTAGTAGTAGTAGTAGTAGTAGTAGTAATAGTAGTAGTCGTAGTAGTCGTAGTAGTCGTAGTAGTAGTCGTAGTCGTAGTAGTAGTAGTAGTAGTAGTAGTAGCAGTGGTGGTTGTAGTGTCAATAGCCGTAGAAGTAGAAGTGGTAGTACTTGAAATAGTTTTAATAGCAGCAGCAGTAGTAGCAGTAGTACCAAGGGTAGTGGTGAAGGCAGTAGTAGTGATAGTAATCGTAGTAGTAGCAGTGGTGGTAGTAGTAGTACTAGTAATCGTAGTAGTATTAATAATAATGGTAGTACTTGAAATAGTTCTGGTAGCAGAAGCAGTAGTAACAGTAGTATCAGGGGTAGTGGTAGACGCAATAGTAGTGATAGTAGTTGTGGTAGTACTAGTAGTAGTAGTTGTAGTCGTGGTAGTAGTAGTGGTAGTAGTAGTAGTAGTAGTAGTAGTAGTGGCCGTAGCTTTAGTAGCACTACATGAGTAGTACAGTAGTAGTAGTAGCAGTAGTAGTAGTAGTAGTTGTAGTAGTGGTGGTAGTAGTAGTAGTAGTCGTGGTAGTGGTAGCAGGAGTAGTAGTAGTGGTAGTACTAGTCGTAGTAGCAGTAGCAGTAATAGTAGTAGTAATTGTAGCAGTGGTAGAGGTAGGAGTAGTAGTAGTAGTAGTAGTAGTAGTAGTAGTAGTAGTAGTAGTAGTAGTAGTAGTAGTAATAGTAGTAGTAATAGTAGTAGTAGTAGTAGTGGTAGTAGTAGTAGTAGTAGTAGTAGTAGTAGTAGTAGTAGTCAGTAAGTAGTAGTAGTAGTAGTAGTAGTAGTAGTAGTAGTAGTAGTAGTAGTAGTAGTAGTAGTAGTAGTAGTAGTTAGTAGTAGTAGTAGTAGTAGTAGTAGTAGTAGTAGTAGTAGTAGTAGTAGTAGTAGTAGTAGTAGTAGTAGTAGTAGTAGTAGTAGTAGTAGTAGTAGTAGTAGTAGTAGTAGTAGTAGTAGTAGTAGTAGTAGTAGTAGTAGTAGTAGTAGTAGTAGTAGTAGTAGTAGTAGTAGTAGTAGTAGTAGTAGTAGTAGTAGTAGTAGTAGTAGTAGTAGTAGCGCGCGAGCCAAAGCGACATTGAACAACGTCGTAGTTGAGTCGTGGCGAAGCCCCTCCCTACCCTCCCCGCCAGGGGGGGGAGGGGGGGTGGGGGGGGGGGTCGCCGGGGGGGTCGCCACCCAGATACGCATCCTCCCCGGGGGGTCCCGGAGCTCAGAAAAGCTTCAAGACGAGCCAAGAGCGCCAGAAGACACCCCCAAAAGGGTACAATAGGACCTCGACTCGACGAACGATCGCCCCAAGACGCCCAAGACGGCCCGAACACGGCCCAAGAGGCCCTCAAAACGCTCCAAGAGAGCCCCAAGAGCACTCCCAAGAGGGCCCCAGGAACCAAAATCGTCAATTTTACATAGGTTTTTGAATGATTTCGGCCTTCTCGCCTTTTCGGCTTGTCGACAGTCCAAGACGGCCCAAGAGGCCCCCAAGAGGCCCCCAAAAGCGCACCAAGAGGCCTACAAGAGGGCCCCAAAACGGCCCAAGAAGGCCCCAGGACAGCCCAAGAGGCGCCCAAAACGGCTCAATAGGGCCCCAAGACGGGCCCAAGAAACGGCCAAGAGGGGGACGAGGAACCGAGAATTCGAGACTTCCGCCCTAAGAGGCCCCTGGGAAGCCCCAAGAGGCCCCAAAAGGCCCCAAGAGGCCCCCAAGCGGCGCCAAGACGCCCCCAAGATGCGCCGAAGACGGCCTCCGGAAGCCCCAAGAGGCCCAAAAGAGACCCGAAGAGGCCCCACAACGGCTCCCAAGAGGCTTCAAGTTGCCTTCCAGACGCCCCCGAGAGGTCAACCACGAGATCCCAACCAACATCCATAAGGCCTCCTCCTCCTCCCCCTTCACCCTTCCTCCTCCTACTCCCTTCCGCCTCCTCCTCCTCCTCCTCGTGCCCCCCCCTCGTGTTGTCTTTCGTCATCTTCAGGGTCGGCGGCAACGGCCGCAAGGCCTTCGCAATAGGGGTACCCAACCGGCTCCCGGCAAAGGGGTACCCAGCCGGCTCCCGGCCCCATCCGGCGGCCGCTGGATTGGTAGGGATACCCAGCCGGAGCCCGGCATATACCCATCCGGCAGCAACCCTGAGGGGGGGGGGCGCTCAGCTACCCATCCGGCGGCGTACTCATGTGGCGCTGGATGGGTAGGGGTACCCAGTTGGCCCCCAGCAGATACCCATCCGGCAGCCGCTGGATGGGTAGGGGTACCCAGCCGGCTCCCGGCAAATACCCATCCGGCGGCCGTTGGCTGGGTATGGGTACCCAGCCGGCTCCCGGCAGATACCCATCCGGCGGCAGCCCTGAGGGGGCGGGGGGCGCTCAGATACGCATCCACCGGCATACCCATCTGGCGCTGGCTGGGTAGGAGTACCCAGCCGGCACGGCGGGATACCCATCCGGCGGCAGCACGGGGGGCCGGGCGCTCAGATACCCATCCGGCGGGATACCCATCGGGCGCTGGCTGGGTAGGGGTACCCAGCCGGCCCGGCGGAATACCCATCCGGCGGCCGCTGGATGGGTAGGGGTACCCAGCTGGCAGGGCGGGATACCCATTCGGCGGCTGCTGGATGGGTCGGGTACCCAGCCGGCACAGCGGGATGCCCATCTGGCGGCCGCTGGATGGGTATCTGGCTGGGTAGGGTGGACGCCAGAGAGGATACCCCGCCGGCGGCGGGAGTACAGTATGCCTGTACAAGAACAGGCCCGATTGCAGAAGAACGGCCCATTGCAACCCAGGCTGGTGCGTGGCACTGGCTGCCCTGAAGCGAGGCCATGCAAAGTCGGAAGCCTCTGCGCGCCGCAGCGCTGCCGAACTGCGCCGAGAGAGATGGGCAGGAGGAGAGGAGGAGAAGGAGGGTGAAGCGCGATGGCGCGCGGTCACCAGACAACAATGGCGCCCTGGATTGGTAAAGGCGAAGGGTCACTCTTCCGCGTAGTAACAAAGGCAGGCGAGCCGACCGACCGCGCGCGCCCTTGTCAATTCTGCGGGCAGCCGAACTGGGCGCCGCGATACCTCGGAAAGTGGAAGAGGTCGAAGTCGCGCTGGTAATGTCGATCAAGCGCGTCCAGTATGTCGCTGCGTAGGGCACAGACGAATGCATCTTCGCGGCCGTTCCTGGGGCGA